GGTGTCTCAAGAGCTTTGACCTGGGTACTAAATGTAGCGTTTACAACCGTCGGGAGAGAGTTACTCCACGCATAAATCCTTTTTGGCACCCATTCTCGTGATGCAACAATTAGGATAGTTTTTATTTACAACCTGTGTGTGGCCGTCAGGCACATTCATAAGTTTACATGACTGGCGATATTGTGGGTAAAGGGGGTTTCGGTAACAAGTTGGCAGCACAGACGGTGGGCATCATCCGATGTAGGCGTGGTCACCGCTAAACCGGCACGGGCGGGAAAGCAAGGTTGCTGTGCGTTTTTGGAGAGAATATCAAGCAAGATCAGATCGTAAGGACTTGAAGTTGGGGGGCGAAAACAGCGAGGAAGGGCAAAATAGGAGGCCTTCCGCCTGACGTATGGCAAGAAAAATGTAATTGCGGAAAATGCGGAACCAGAACATCAGAATTGGTGTAGCAGCAGAGTTGGTGTCAAACTGAACTAAAGCTGGATATGGCAGTGTCGTGTCATCATTGCCTTGAAATACTTCCGTTTTCGGACAGTCCCGCAACGGACGTCGCATGTAGGATCATTGGGCTGGGATGTGCAGTTCTCCGAGCTGCGGGATTTTGACAGGTTGGCCAAGAAACCCCGTAGAGGTAGGAGGAAGTTGATGAAAGATCGCAGGCTTTGGTCCGGTTGGGATCTCTGTAAATGTAGATCATAAACCGCGGGTGGATAACATTCCATCAGGTCTTCCGTACATGCTATTGCTGACGTTCAGAGCTTGGGAAAATAGAGGGATGGTTCGTTCTCACTATGCACGCAAAGGTGTTCGCTGCGTCTGTAACGACCGTTTCGAATTCTTGAGCAACGAGCACCAAGGTTAGCAACCAAACCGGCAAAACTCCGAACGAATGGCTACGCAAATGTGCTGTACTATAAAAAATGAAAGTAGTTACACGGAATACAAAATTACAAACCTCAACGGTTTTCGACAAACGGTGAGGTACTCCAAAAGGCAAGCAAAGCCGATATGGATCAACAGTCAACGCGTGAACGAAACCGCGTCTCAAACTCATGAATTAAAACAATATATAGCTGCCCAAGGATTTGGTACAAAATAGCATAACCAGAGCGGTAAAAACGATTTGCGTGGTAAGAAAAACGGAGAATATAGATATCTCGTAAAACTGAAATAGGGTTCAATTCCACCAGTCCAAAAAGGGCGGTCCATTTGAATTGTTAACCGGGAAGGCAGTCATTCAGGATTGGAGGCAATTTTAAATATATATGAAGTTGCAACAGCGTCCCCTCCGAGTGATATATGGACGAGCCTTTTGTCATTTAGAGGAAGACACATGTCCGACGAACACTACCTTGCAGCGTCCATTTGGAATGCAAGGATATCTGAAATCCATGATTTTAAGTCGGTCGGACATAAAGGTCTAGTAAGGTAGAACAAAGCCGACGCAGGATGACGGACCCTTTGAATTTGATTGACGATTCCTTAAGACGCAAAGCTTAGACCAGAGAGAGAGTAGATGCCGGCCATAAGAACAGGAGCAGGAGGAACGTGATAAGATCAGTAAGTTCTGGTTATTTTGGGGAAATAAAAGATTTGCTGGAGTCCATTAGGAGAATAAAATAAATAGAATAGAATGAATAAAATAAAATAGCTTTATCACAGAAGAGGTGACGACGACTGGTGGCCAAATTAGATAGAATATGGGCAGATTTATGATTAGTAACCTAGCATTTAAGCACTGGCTAAGTTTGCCAAAATATACAAGTGGCATAAGCAAAGATGAGCATAAATGTGCGGTGTTATGACGGACTAGCTTCTCTAGAAGTTGCTACGTAAGCTGGAAAGTGATGGATGGTGAATATGAGAGAAAGGGCAACCAGTCACCGGGGCACTGCTATCAGTTTAAAAGAACAAGTTGCGCATGGTGAATAAAAGCCTATATGCGCTAACATTAGGTGCTCTTGGTGAAGGGATAACAAACGTCATTGTTTCATATTATTCAACGAAGTTCATTGGTTTTTAAATTTTCAACAGCGTCTTGAGAAAAATTCGGCTTTAGATACTTTGGCCCATCCCACAGACAGAAATACGGAGGTTGCGGACTTTGCTTTAGCCGAGGACGCAATAAAGAATAACTACTATTAGAATAAAGGTTACGGTAAAAACGAGTAAGCTCGCTGGATCAAAGGGGCGCAAAAGGTCGTTGATAGGATTCGTTTAAGCAGGCGAAATGTTGGCACTGAGCGAAACCAAAAGGTCCTCGTGGGAAGAATAACTGGTTTTATGGACAGAAAAAATGGACAAAACAACAAAATGGCCAGCGTTTTGGAGTCTAAGCATAAACTCAGCGGAATGGAACCGCTCCTTGGAGGCAAGCAATATGCTTCGTGTGAAAATAGCATGATCATGCCAGGTGGCATGTCACCTACAAGTTGGGAATAAACATTATCATTATTAAACTATGTTAACTAAGTTTTGGAACCGCTCCTTGGAGGCAAGCAATATGCTTCGTGTGAAAATAGCATGATCATGCCAGGTGGCATGTCACCTACAAGTTGGGAATAAACATTATCATTATTAAACTATGTTGAACTAAGTTTAAGCCACCGAAATGTCCTTGGCGGCAGCGGTGCCATCATCGCGACGTCCCATTTCAGTTCAGGGATGTCGCAATATATGCACGTCTTGGTAATTATGGTGGAATGGAGAAGCAATGAGCACGAATATATCTGAATTCACCGACCGAGTAGCTTGGTTCATTATTGAATTTTAGGTGAGACGTGGAGGAACTCAAATCTGTATTCCAGGCTCAAGATGAAAAAACACCACAGACAGCCAATGGAGTCGTAATGTAGCTCTTATTCGTAAATTGGACGAGGTGGATGGAGAGGAATAAGAGCTGTTGGGCAGGGTCAACGGCGAACAGTAGCCTACAGGGTGGATGACCCTCTGTTACCACATAGTGCAAGAAAGAGTTGTACAAAAATTTTCAGATGTTGGGCAATCTAGAAGAGCGATTATTTCAAACATACGGGGTGGTGATATTGGAGAAAAATGTGAGGCTTGTGGTCGTGTTGCCTGTTTGGAACTAGTAGTGATCTCATCGTGGCACAATCACGCACCATGAAAAGCGGTTCGGGTCACGTACCACAGATGCGTCAGGTGAGTAACAGTCGCGACGCCCGTGAGATGCCACCGCGTTTTCGACCGAGCCTGTTCTCGGAAACCGGTTGAATGGACACGCTTGCTGGAAGTGACAAGGATATGACAAATTATAGTGGTGTCATGTTGTGATTTGGTGAGATGTCTGCTTTTTTAGTGTTGCGCTGTTGCGCCAAATGTGTGCCCTGTTGAAATTTGAAGCACCCGATTTCCAATTTCTGTATTGAGGGGTGGGTGAAGACCTCATACAGAGATCCTGACATGACAGAGGTGATCTTTTTCGCGCTTTCATCGGTGGCTTACAGCACTAGCAAACGTGATAAGTCGTCATTGTCCTTCTCAACCAGCCCGTTGCATTCGTAACGCGTATTGAACAGCGGCGCTTGATCACCGAATATATGGGACTGTTTGCTGGCCCTTTCATCAAAGCCGCAACGAGTATGACAGCGGCTGGAGATGCGAAATTCTTACTGGTACTGGCTGCTGGCGTTCGGGCACGCACTGAATCGATGATCTTCACTTCAGTTTTCTCAAACTACATTTGGTGGTATTGCAGCAATTAGCATATATGTCTAAATTCAATGGACATCACGTGTCTTCGTTCTCCATTTGTAATGACGATAATGCAGAGGCTCATTTCTATGTCTGGTACTCACAAACTAGCTTTTTCAGGGGGCACACCAAGGGCTTGTGTGTATCAAGGGCCGATAATTAAAAAGAAACCAATAGGGATTTCTCCCAAACCGTTCTTGCGTGACAAACATGCTCGTGTTTATGGACAGCTTAACCCAAGCCAAGGACGAAGGACTCATATCGGATGCCATATTTTTCGACTTCTCAAAAGCATTTGATAGGGT